AAGTGATATTCAGCGATAGAAGCGGCGTTGTCGGTTAGCATGCTATACTGCACCGAGGTCTTCAAAGTTCTCGGGAAAGAATACATCGAGAATCATCAGGTAACCATATAAAGTGGAGATTTGGTTCACCGTAAGCAGGTCATCGCGGTGGCTCATGGAAAAGGCCCATGAGGATTGCCGAAGGAATAATGGGCCTTGAAAGTAAAGGACAAAGCATGAATAATGAAACCTTGGGGACGTTTTCAAACGACTCACTGAGTATTTTGAATGACAGGCCACTTCACCCCGCAGAAGGTGGTGTAAAAGATTTCCGTGTCCTTACTCTTTACAGGTGCCGTTCCTGGGGAGGATCTTAAGGCTCTAGACAAACGGAGTAGATGTAAGCCATATTGTTAGACTACGTGGCCAAGCCGAGTATTCTGAGGAGCGGTTTTGGAAAAGATAATGGATTGGTATTACCTACCAAGGCAAGAGTAAAGCGCCACTACGAAGTGTTAAGGATTTGCGCTTACTTGGACATGTGTCTAAAAGTGAAGCGGAGGTTAGGGGAGGAGACAACTTTTCCACGTAGGTAGGTCGTCATGTTGAGAGGGATCGCAGGTTTGCAGCCTGGAGTAATATAATTCGTCAACGGATAGTACACCACAGCATGGTCTACAAAGTGAAGTGCACTATCAAGTGAGTGCGGATTATGTACATGCATGTCGATTGTTCATTGTAGATATGCGTTTATTTCTGTCAGCATCCTGTTACGGTCACTGAATTTGTGAAAGACGGGCTGTTTGGTTGCACAACCTTTTAATTCGAGTATACATATGTGTGAACAACTGCGTACGCCATTTATGACATCCTTATTTGCTGTGCATTTTATGAAATCGATCGTATTGCCAACCTGTTTCGGGTTCTGTGTTGCGTTTTGTGCCGGCCAAATCAAACAGCTGCAGCATATTGCGTCAGGCTTTGAAATCCAAATTACAGGACATGCTGAGGATGCTTACTTCATTTACTTCTTATTTTGTGAACTTGCTCTAAGCTATTATCTGCCACATGGGATGGGAACAGGTAGAGAGTTCCGATACACTCGCAAGCCATGCCACTAGAGTGGTGCTAGATATACAACAAACCTCCAGACGGTCATAAAGGTGTTTTAACAACTTCTCGGAATGGTTCTGGTGTGAAATTATCAAGCTGCCTGTGGGGAAGGCCTAGGATAAGGCTCATTCATACTCCCATTCCCTCATAACTGAAACCGGAGAAGGAAAAGGTGAGACCTAGATGCTTTTCACGAAAATTTTAGTGTGTACGTGATTGAACAGCCTGCGTTCATGCTTATATTCAGCCGCCGTCACTTGATGGTCCATGCTCTGCACAACTTTGGTCTTTTCCAGGTTGATTCTGGGGCCATTCTCTGAAAACCAGGTGTTGATGAATTTCTCTTAAGAGTGTTCACTTGACTTTGCTGTAGCAGTAGCCATCTTTCAAATACACGTTGACCATTGAAGAGATTCATTTACGCTAGATGACTGAATTTTCTAGAGGGATGTTGCTCGGGACTTCGTCGGCTACTTTCGCCAGGTTGAGATAGATAATGCGGGGTGGTTTCCTGTTGTCCCTTTGCGTTGTCCGTCGTCCTAGGTGGTTACCAAGTTGGTTGTATATGAATGATCACATTGGGATCCACGTGAGGCTGTCTGAACTCTACTTTTCCTCCCAAAAAATTCCCAGATCTCAGCTGTTACCTGGCTTTACAGTGCCTTCAACGGCGTGGCATGTAAGGCAATCCGGTGATAGTTACCGAGGTTTTCTTTTTCATGGAATTGGTAACCAGGTAGCGTGCTTTCGTTCGTCGGTGAGTTAGCTTGACCCTAACGAGCGCTTGAATAGTACAGTGATTTGTCTGACGAGTTACTGAGATCAGTTTTACAGGACTATTGGTCTCAGATCGTCATGGTCATGGATGTTGCCCAGCGAAACCTGCGTAGCGTCCTTATTACTTTATTCTGTGGTAGAAATATGATACAGTTGTTTGCTCTCACCTACCTTTTCACCATCATTCCACAGCAATACGGATGTGTCAATGAGAGTGCCATGCTGCACTGAGAATCGTGAGCTCAAATGCCTAGCTGTTTCTAAGCTACTCTGAGTCTCCTATAACCTGCTTTAAGATTCACATCTTGACATGAAACGATAGAGGGTTTTTCCGGCCACAACGTAGTTTCCTCCGGAGGTCTGACCGACGGTTAAGCCTGCTGCCGCAGATCATAATGTTTCATCGGTCGGGGATTCCAGAATCTCTACGCCTAACGTGATGAGCACCATTTGAACAGAGCTCGCTCCCTGATCTGTAATAATCCACCCATCCGGAGCTTTTGTCGAGAGGTTATCGGTTGTACCTGGCATGCTACCTCTCCCATACTGTGATGAATGGCCCCAAGGACCACCACCTTCACTCATGCTCAATGCCCATCTTTTGTAGGAGGGTCCTAGTTCTAAGGTTGTGGCGCAATTACGAGGTAACCTTTCGTAGCACTGTATTGGCCGTGACGAAGTTAAGAGGCGCTAAATGTTTCTGGTTTCGGGGCTTCTTGGGTTGTCGTGGCAAAGAACATTACTGCATGATAGCCATGACTGAGAAGTGGCTGAACACGCACATCCTCAAGAAGACCGCCCTCTGGCAGAATATAGTCCAGACGCTGTGCATTCAATTTAGGACTTCAAATGCAACATAACTCACTTTTCAATGAGTGCGGGTACCCTAAATGAGTTTTCAAGCATCTGCTGAAGGCTGGGCAAATGTTTAGCTCTCCCCCATCGAGTGAACAGTTTCTGTGTTGAAGTCGATGGTGATGACAACGGATTTCAAAGCTGCAGAACTCGTAATTAAGATTTACGCGGTGAATATTTCCTTACAATCAAGAATACTGGGTGGAGACCTATATACATTCCCTGTCAGGTATTTGATTCGATGGAGAGTGAAGGGGCTCCATAGTGAGCTCTGGACTTGTGCAATAGTTGCATCATTCGCCAATTTTCCCCTTGGTCAGATACGATATAAGAAGCCGCACCAATTTTCCCTCTGCGCCCTTGGGCTCGTCATGAGAACTCTGCACTCACCACACGGAACGTTTTTCAGCCGTCTAACAGCTTTAGTGTGGTAGCACGTTTGGTACCAAAGAAATATCCCAAACTACTCAAATAAGTACGAAGATCCACGACAATGTCAACTGTCGGTCCAGGTGAAGTTTTCCGAGCTGAGGAATATTGAACGATGGTAGTCCTCGCGGTCCTTGCGGAAGCCCAGAGCGAATCATAAAAGACGAAAAACAGTCTCCAGTCATACCCCGGAAAGTGTTACTCACTGAGGTGGCAACCGCTGCACTAGCCGAAAGCTGCAAGAAAAGTGTGGGTGACTACATAATTACACATGGATTGGGCTTACACAGTTGAAACAGAAATTGGGCTGAGGCAGCAAACTGGTGTTTCAAGAGCTCGACACTATGTTGTCCTCACCCGAGTCCTCTTCATCATCGCTGCCATTGTGGACACAATTAAATCTTCTCTCTCTTTCAGATGTCTTACCTCTCCAGCTACCATCTGAGTATTAAGATCACTACAACTTCCGCCTTATTTGTATCTGGTGGAATTTATAACCCCTTCCCCACCTCTTGCTCTTGCGCATGGACGTCATTTGTCCAGATTCCAACTCCTTACTCGTCTTCTATCAATCCGCCTAGATTGCTAATTCCCCCTTTTCCCTGTTTTTGCCATCTTTTGTTCTCTTTGGCCCTCTGCCTAGTCGGATCATCTGCCCTTCGCAGCCAGTCCGAACAAATGTCTGGCGACTCAACATTTCAAGGGCCTAAGTGATCACAACCAATACGAATCACAGGTCTTCCCAAAAATTTAACCAACCAACCACTCACGGGGCTCATCAGGGTTAAAGCATACTAGTGGCTTGATCTACCACATTGGGACCCATCTGCACCATGGCCCTTGAACATATCACATGGCCTGCACAAATTCGGCCGGTAACCAACCTCTCGTCTGGCCAACCAGACCTACAGCAGCGAGTAGGTAGACCCACCGGATCGGAATTTGGCAGGAATCCAGATTCGGATTTGATGCTTCAGGATAGAAGGCTTTGAGCCCATAGTAATCCTTCCCAGTAGATTTCCGCGCCTGTCCAGTCGCCTTTTGAACGGGTCAGTTGGTGATGTTGACACCACTTCTCCTGGAAGTTGTTTCCAGGAGTTGATTACTCGGCGCGAGAACCAGTACTATACGGAGAGTATGTTCGTTCCTTGCTTTTGTTTGCACCTATTATGTCCTCTGAAGTGTCCCGACCTAGTGGGAAAAAAAGTAGAGGATTGATCAGGTCCGAATTCATATTTGGAAGCCTGTATAGCATGATTAGATTCTCTGTTTGTCTGCGATAGGATAAAGAGGAGAGGTCCAGCCCCATAAGTCAATTTTCACAGGTCAGGTCAGCCATCGCAAGGATTATACTAGTTTCTGCCCTCTGAACTCTTTCCAGAATGTCTGAGTCACCTTCCAGACAAGGATTTGTCGCATGTGTGCAGTTTCATAGTTTGGACCTAACTAGGGATCTACACAAAATGGTGAATATATCAGCAATTATTTCTGTAAACGCTCTGCTTGGTGCTGAATGTGTCCTAAAACTGCAGTAGTGGGCTTTGGTTTTCAGACCATAACTCAGTGTGACTCCTATTTCTTTGCGGGTCAGCAACGACGATAGAGGATCCCCATCAGTACCATCGGTGTTGCGATGTGTGTGCCCCAAGTTCATGATCACACACTTACCTGCGTTGGTAGACATTAGCCTTTTTTCTGACTAGATAATGAAAACTTGCAACCGTCCCACAAGACATGAAAGCAAGCGCAAGGGAGTGAGTTGGTCTACACTAAGGTGTAAAAAGATATTTGATGTTAGGTTTGTCCACTATCTTTGTTTGTTTTTACCAGTCAAAAACGCTGGAAACAGAAAATTCGGCTTTGTACCGCGGGATTTGTTATCATCGACAGTTGCTCAGATGGTTTGATTATTATGCCTTTTCTAAATCAAGTAAAGTATATTCATCACACAAAAGTCATGTTTTAGGAACCTTTCGTCAATCATAAACTTTTAGAAGATTTATATGAAATTCAAGAGAAAATTGGGGAGTAAGTTCGAGTCTTATACTGTCAAAGTTATCAGTGGGCACTTCGCTGACGTCAACCTTTGTGTGTGCAAAAGTTCGAATAAAAAATACGCAGCTAAATTTATTATGAAGCAAAGGCTCTCAACGGGTAGTCACGGATCAAGTGTGTCTGACATTGATCGTGAAGCTTTCATTCTGGCTAACCTACAACACGAAAACATTGTGAATCTGCATGAGGTGTTTTATCGAGAAGACTCTGTGGTTCTCATTTTAGATCTGTGAGTTTTTAAATTTTTCGTTGTAAGTTCCATCGCCTTTCCCAGCTTGTCAGGAATTCCCTCTACCTTAGGACATTTTAGAATTTCACTACTTCAGCACATAACGTGCCCTCAGATCATGTTTTTGTGGTTGGGTTCAATATAATTACTGTTTTAAGTTGCAAGAGTAAATTGTAAGCGCATGCTTTCCAGTCGGGAGTTACAGGGCTGATAATGCAGGGAACTTGTAAGTATTAACAGTTTTTAGGAACACTTGTGTTTTGAGCTCAACTTCACGACCATTTGAGTTCTGCCTATTTTAAGGTACTCCCCTCTGCTGAAACCAATTTCCACATGTAATCTCAGCTGCTCTTGTAGAGTCACTTATTTGGGATCCAACCAGAAGTGTCCCCAAAGTAGCTAAAAGGCACCTGTCTATTTCACCAACTTGAAGGAGAACAAACGCAAGCATAAACCCCAAACTGTTACTTAGCTAAGGCCGCTCATATGATAGGTATAAATGTCCACGAATATTTAGCAAACTTCAGAAAGGTTATCACAGTGTTTGCCTCTGTCCTATCCCCATGACAGGAGCTTCTGACGTTAAACCCATAAAACCGGAAATATATGTCATACCATTATTTACATTATTAGTCTTTTATCAAGCAGTAGTGCCAATTCATTATTTTTCATTTTTTTGATTTTTATGAAGCTAATGGCAATGTATTAAGTCTTTCTGTAGGTTTCCAATTTTAATCATATATTTTTACTTACTAATCCTACTGGACTTACTCAGTTGATAGCAGTTCAGCTGTTACTTTAATTTAATCATACACTCATGGCTAATTACCTACCTTATTGTCATATGGCATCTTAATTCCGCTTATCATCAACACCACTGAGCACCACTAAGAAACTATACTGTCAGTATAACCAACTTTATTCTGAATCCGAATTGTAATTTACTCGCATGTACCGTACTTTTTGAAACTCACATATTTATAGGTTGATTGTTGTAGTACTGAAACAAAAATACTTAGTCGTCCAACTCCCAAATTCTCTAACTTTGGTTTGCTAACGCAGTCTAAGTTTTCACTGTCGTATTGATCACGTATCTCAGAAAATATTAATCCTACTGATTTTTACTTTTCTTTGTGCACTTATAATATCTTCACTTGAAATTTTATTGATCGTCATAGCCTGCATAGGTGTGATATCTAAAGGGAAGGCTATTTCAGCTTATATGCCCAACGAAATATATGCAGCATGGCACTAAAAGTCAAAACTTCTCTTTTTAAGTAAGTTTAAACTGGTTTAGTGGGCTGCGCATTACCTTTAACTACAACATTATGTGTAGTAAATCATTGCTGAAGTGCAATTTTGGCTTGGATAAGGTCGGATTAAAAGTAAGCTGGAGGTGAAAAAGCCAATATAGAATCAGTCTTTAGGTTTCTGATTATCAACTCGAGTCTTTAGAAAGCGTAGACTTCATGCATGGAGTTCTCAAGGTATTAGGATTAGTAGTCAGGGGCACTGAGTGACAGGTCTGGGAAGTGATAACAATTGCTTAGATGCATTTACATTTAATTCGTTTGAAATAATGAGCATTTCATGTTTTTTTAATTTCTTCTTCCTTATCATTTACCTTTCGCCTATTTATTGAGTTCCTCTTTCTGTGATGTGAAATCTGGCAACTTAAATTGATTCATTTGGGTACACAATTCTACGTTGATATGTCTCTTTATGGTCTGACAATTGGATAACGTTTTTAGCTTATGTAAGTGTTATCAGAAAAGCTACATAGACTCACACAGTTCTGACTAACGAGGAGAAAACAAACCAACAGAAAAACAAAGGGTCTGTACAGATTTGATCTAACAGTCATATCCGTAACCACCTTTTCTTTGTCCCGTTTACTGGCTGGGAATTTCCTGCCACTAAATTTCAACCTTTGGGACAACTCAGTGTGGTATAGGTACTATACCTTTTCATTTTCCGCCTTACCTCCTCAGCATTAACTAATTTTTTCACATTAAACGCGGCTAGTGGACACAGGCATGACGTAGTACGGTCGCTGTAGACGCTTAGAGCTGGCTAAATGAACCTCAGACGATGTATATCTTGTTCCGTCCTGCTAACCCTGTAGTTCTGTTTCATTAAGGTAATATTCCAAATGGCAGTTGTCGACCACACATCTTATTCTCCAGCAGGGCAGATGTATAACTAATACAGGCCGTTACATAGCTATAAACATGTCCATTTATCCTTACCTTACAACGGTTCAGCAAAAGAGGTTATCAGTTGTCGTTATCACTGATGATGATGAGTCCATATTCTGGACAGTAAAAGCTCTTTGATATTGTAGCGTTTTGGAACCTAAAGAACTGGAAAGTTCTCTAACTTTGGTGTGAATTATTGAGAAAATGAAGAGATAAATGGTCCAACGGAGAAGCTGTTTTCGGCGAATTCATTGACCTTACTTTAAAATCGCACTCATATACAAGTTTTCGGTGAGAATGTTAGATTTTTTCCATGTATGAAAGCAGTAATAAGGTGACACATATATAAAATGGAAGTATGACTTGCATCTTAAAGTAATCAAAATATTTATGAATATTGAGAAATAATCAAAAGGCATAGTAACAAGCAAAGCTAAATTGTCATGAAACAAAATACAGGGTTGCTAAGATAGATAAGTATTGTCCGAGATGTCATATCATGCTGAAGTTTGAATAAAGATTTGAGTAGCATAACAAAATATTAATGAATGAATTGTAATCAGAGTGGGTATAGAAACAAGGGGTGGTTTATAATATGAACGAAAAGAAGAGTTAGAAGAACGGAGAGGTGACGTTTAAAAGACGTTGAAGGTTAAAACCGTGTAAGGACCAAGCTTTGAACAAGTCTCTTTTGTATGCAAAGCTCTGGTTTTCCCATCAAAATTGCTAAAGCTTCAGCAATACAAAGGCGATGGATGCGCAGTGACTTTCGCAAGTTTCTTGTCATTTTGTAAATAACTTTGAAAGGGGTGATTGTTTAAAGCGAATGACCAGTGTCTACTTGGTGTTCCATTATCACACTTCATACAGATCCATTGTTGTGTTTTTGTAGCGACGCAGGATAGTTTTCTTGAACCCTTTTGGACAAGACTCACGTTGAACGACCAATGTACCCAGCTCCACAAGATCAGGTAAACTGATACACAGACATGGAGGTGGCCACATGCAAGGTCTTTCAGGCTTTTGCTGAGTTAAGGGCAACTAGAGAACATTAATCCGAGATTTTGCTTCAAAGAAAATTCACTTCAGGAAATCCTTCTCTTTAGGATGTCAGCAACTAGATCATTTTCGAAGTATGGGTTCATGTATAGTATCTTTTTCTATACGGAAACTGAATCATGTTCTAGCGGTTCTGGTTTTATGTTTTTACCTGTGAGCCGTTTTTTACAAGGAACATGTTATATATAAGTGGGCCTATACAGTTAAGTGAATGAATTCGCCGAAAACAGCCTCTTCGTTGAACCATTTTTCTTTTCATTTAAAAAAATGTCTTTGTAGGGATTTTTCATGAATCGAATTATTGAACTGGCAATTCGGGGAGATGGGACTCGGAACATTTCATATTCCTGTATACTCAACAGTTTACATTAGCTGAGGTATCACGTAAACAGGTGATTGATTTTATGTCTGGACCGCATGTCAGTGGACTAGGAGGTTCACATCAACTCGTTTAGTTGGAATTAATTTTAATAAATTAATGGATGGAAATAACTCCTTGAAAAATTTTGTAGTTTTGCGCGTATCTGATCGTTAATAGTCTAAGATATTTTAAACTAATTTCTAAGTAAGAAGCGAAAATGCGTTATCACAAATTCCAACTCAGTAGCTTCAACACATGATTTTCTTTCACAAAAGTTTCCTTTGCCACACCATTGACAGTAGGTTTCTTGAAATGTTTGATGAAACAGACCACTTTCATTCTAAAGAGCCATATAAATCTTCAAGCATTTGTATTTTAAACAGTATCCCTATTTAGTGGCTGCTCTTAAAATCCTTGAAATAATCACTTGCATGACTATTTTAAAACTAATTTAGTTGATCAGATTCTTTTTGTAAACCTTTACAGGGTGACAGGTGGTGAATTGTTCGCACGAGTAGCCGATTGTGAGCGTCTGTCGGAAGAAGAGGCATCTAATTTTGTCCAGCAAATTCTTCTGGGTGTTCAGCATATGCATGGCTTAGGGATTGTTCACTTGGATTTGAAGGTAGTTTTGTTTTTCATTTCATTATTATTTTTTTCGTGTGACATCCCACAAACATGAGCTGTACTAAATTTCTTTTTAAGCCTGAGAACATAATGATTGAAGATCTGGAATCCAGGAAAATAAAAATTATTGATTTCGGTCTGGCTAGAGTGCTGAATCCAAACGAAAGCTTCCAAGATATGGCGGGAACACCTGAATTCTGTGGTCAGTAAATTCATATTTTGTTCACTGTAATCGTTATAACTTTTATTACTTTTGTATTATTTTTCCCTTGGGTTCCAAGTCAAGCATAGGGCTTCAGTAGCACGCCTCCATTGCAGTCTTTTGAACCTGGCGCCACGACTGCCCACAAGCTTTCATTTCCTCCTCACATGATCTCATCCATGTCACCCTCGGACGTTCAACTCGTTGTTTCCCCTGTGGATTCCACTCGACGGCCTGGCGCGTGATGCCCCCAGTCGGCCTTCTCAGTGTATGCCCAATCCATCTCCATTTTCTTCTACGTATTTGTTGGGTGATAGGTTCTTGGTTGGTTCGTTGCCAGAGCTCCTTGTTCCTTATTCTGACTATTCTGGCCATCTGATCTTCAGTAGCGAGCCAGCGTAGGCAGTTGTTGATGATTGTCTACAGTTTGTTGGGAATGCTTTTCGTGACGCGCCAAGTTTCTGAGCCATACAGAAGCATTGACTTGACGTTGGTGTTGAAAATCCGGATTTTGTTCACGCTTTATGCTGAGTGCAGAAGATCTCCATACTGGTTTCAGGTTAATGAACGCCTGTCTTGCTTTTCCTGTTCTGGCTTTGATGTCCTCGTCTGTGTCGCCTGTAGTTGAAACGATGCTGCCTAGGTAGGTGTAGGTGAAAGAGGCTACTTCTTTTAAGTTTCTCCCGTTGGTGGTGATTGGAGCTTGTTGTTGTTGGTGGTGTTGGTTGGGTATCTTCATCACCTCTGTCCTCTCTGCGTTCACTTTAAGTCTCATCTTTGCTGCCCTGTCTCTTCTGTCAACTTATTAGTTTTCGCCCGTAGATCTTCAAGTTTGTGTGACATTAGACACAAGTCATCGGCGAAATCCAAATCTCCTAGGCTTTTTTTATCGGTCAGACAGCGTATGCCCATCTTCTTGCTCCTCACTGTTTGCTGCATGACCCAGTCCACCACAATCAGGAAGATCATTGGTGATAGTAGACAGCTTTGTCTTACTCCTGTCTTTACTTCGAAGGCATCACTGAGCTTCCTATTGTGAATTACTTGGCATGTGGAGTCTTCATATAGTTGTTGAATGAGGTTGATAAAGATTTGTGGCACTTAGTAGTGTTGAAGCAGTTGCCGAATTACTTCTCGATCGATGCTATCAAAGGCCTTTTCAAAGTCGATGAAGTTGAGGTAGAGAGTTGACTGCATTTTCCAAGACTGAATAAACAAAAGTAAATAATTGAGTTTTGCTATCGCTTTCTGCTTTTAGTGAAGTTTTAAGAAAATTTTCGACTGGTTTGACTTAATATCTGGAAAGTCTAAACCTTGTTTGATTACGTCACGACTCCCCTTAAATTACATTAAACCCAAAGCCGAGATTAGTAAGGACTACTACTTGTAAGTTTTTCACCTACGTTGTGCGGAAATATGACATTAGTGGAAAATTTTAGTTCATCAAACTTATTCTTAAAATTTTTAAATTTATCAGCGTCAGGTAAACTCCAATAATTTTAGTTCTTTCTCTGAATTACAATTGCAAACTGATCATACTGAGATAAATAAAAACACTAATGACATTGGCCTAGGTTCACGTGCATATTTACATACCAGACTGAAACTCACATTGTAAGATAGTGACGCTACCTGGTTGGTCAAACCTTGGTAGATAGTGGACACCACGCCATACAGTTTTTTATGAATTTCGTGCTGACCAAAAATGGATAGTTGTATAGGTACAATTCTAACAGGCCATCACAGTTATTGATTTGTTTTCCTGTTACTCCGAAAGTACCACTTAAATATCTTTCTGCATGACTCAGGCTCCCTACTTGAGGTTTGAAATCACCTGCCACGACCACATATTAGCATTTGGCTTTCAGTAGAAGGCTAGTTAGTTCTAAGTAGAAAATATCTTTCATTTCATTTGAACTTCAGTTGGTTGGTACGTAAGCAGAGATTACAAAAAGACAATAGCCAGTTTGTCTATTCTTCTTACTCCTCATTGCACCGTTCAGTCGAACAGCCGACAGGCTGCTGTCTACTGGGAACCAGTCGACCGGTCCACTTTCTGCTTTATCACTTATTGCTATACTTACACCTGAAAGATCACAGAACCATAGAATCTCCACAGACACGAAAAGTGAATTTCGCTGATTCATTATATTGGTCGAATGATGTTAAGTGAATACCTTCACTCAGATTTTGTATGTGTATCAGAAACGCAGCATACGTCCACAGCCCGATATGCAAATTTATTGGCGAGGGATACTTGACCGATTTGATGGAGGGCACAGCTATTGGAAGCTCCAATGCCTAGTTCGGAGGTGGTGTTAGGGGACCAAAGATGTCATAAACTCAGATCGCTATCAGAAGTTGCTGGAGTGGAATTTGATATAGGAATGTTGACCAAGAGACGTGAATAAAGATTAGAAAGTAATGATGTGGAAGGTTGACAATGATCTTTGGGAACTAAAGTGCTGACTGAGTTACGAGGGTGGTTGACACTTCCCGGCTGTCCACACCATAGGAGTTACTTCTTCTTGAGGTACCTGAAAAGAAGTTGGGTCAGTAGAAGTGGTGCATGACCTCGGAGTCCAAGGGACATCTGCTTGAGGCTGCTGGTACACGGTCTTTTCAAAGTTTTATATTTTGTGAATGCGACTTTGAACCCGTACCGCCGGCACCGGTGTACCGTGAAGACCGACCTTTTCTAATCTCTACCCCGTAGCCATGCGGAAAGGGGCATCAGCGTGGCGCTGCTAATCATCCGTGAGGAATATTTTACTGCTGTCACACATCCGTCCAGCTGGCAGTACAGCCTCGTCCTCGGATCCCCATCACAGCGTAGCATAACTGCTTTTATCTTACTACTATCCAACAGACCTTTCTGATATGGTTGGAAATCATAGGAGCAAGTGTTCCACCAATATGGCTTGTTGGGTCATTGAGGTGTTCAAGACCAACCACCATGCCAAGATGGTAGCTATCACTTGGGGTCTGTCTCGATAGATAGAGCGAATTTTGATCCACTGGGTGCAATGTAAAGTCACAGGTGGCTTTGCCATAGGTCGTATTGTAGTAGCACTCTTTTTTCTTTACGTCAATTGCTAGCGTAACGGTCTAATAAACATTGATAATAAGTTTCAACGTGAGGGAAGCTGTCCAGTTAAACCCTACACGAACGCCATAACTTTCAATTAACATGATAATAACTTCCGTTTGAAGTCAATCGTATGTAGAAAAGGGTTAAATATTTGATTAATCGTTGTTATATATCAAACGAATTTTGAGTTTTAGCACACGAAGTGTCGGAATAGTTTTAGATCAAACCAAAGAAACGTCAATCCGAGTGGTTAGATGTTTCAGAATCTTGAACTCTTAGTTTACATGCCAAAAAATACTATAGGAAGAACCGTAGATTGCAAGCTAAATTTCTTGACTTCTAAATATCCACTTGTTTAAGGTTATATATTAAAAATGAATGCGAATGTTCTTCTGAGAACAAATCTTGTTTAGTTTCAAGGGTTTTAGCTAGTGTTTTTTGCTGCTTTTGGAAACCTATTTTCCAACTTCATCACATAACTGCTAAAACGAAAGCAGTGATCTCATGGTTTTGATCAGTTTCGAATGAAGCATGTATCAATCTTCTTACTACTCAGTTACTCGTGTAGACAGATGGGTTTAGTGAGCGCAGAGGATAAGCAAACGTAGTCAATTCGCCTGCCTCTTCTGGCTTCCATTGTACGCCTGTTTCAGTTGGCAACCATGCACTTGCAACTTTGTTATGAAGCAAGGCTTAAACAAACTTCTATATTATGACAATTTAACAGTCCTACATTGAAGAAAGCATCTGGAAGATTTGAGAATTTCTCCTAGTGAATGTATTTTAGAAAAATTACCGTTTTACTGCATAGTCCGCGCCCACTGTTTATTGACTACAATCATCTGTAGAACTGTTATTTCTAAGTGTTATATCAAAAAACACGTTTGTGGTGAATTGAAACTTATAAACTGGATAACTACGAGAAATCTTAGTTCAGATATTAATGCATCATATGCGTTGCGGAGCTATGCTTCATTGGTTGAAGGAGTTGACTTTCAAGCAGTGGCTCACGAGTTTGAACTCTGCCCTATATACTGATATCGGCAGCTATATAGTACCATTTGACTCCTTGCGTACTGCCTAAAGGTGCATGTGGTCGCTGATATATATATATATACTTTGTTCACTAAATGTATGACACAGTGGAACAGTACTATTTACTAGATAACGATTTGGACCGTTGATAGTCAGATCAAGGCAACTGCACAACTCTTTTACCGTCAGAATATAAGCTTAGTAAATTTATTTGGACAAAAGTTAAATTTCTGACAAAAGTCCGTCTAATCCAGCTGATATTTCCTGATTAAGTGATGTGAGATGACGAAACCAAAAACAGCAGAACCTTACACATTAGTAAATAGCTTCTAATTGTTACATCTCTGAACAGTAAATTGAAAAGAATAATCTGAGTAGAAAGATACCGAAACGAACTAGACAAAAGACGTTAATGAATAAATAAATTCCGGAGCAAACTTTTATGACGTTAAAGATTTGGCAGAAGATAGAGTGAAATGTCTAGCGCTATTATGATAATTTTCTGATCGTTAACAAGATGCACACTAGCGAACGATGGTTTTGTGAAGTGCTTCCGCGTTTTTGTCCATTCAAATAAAGAATTGTCTTTCAGCTCCTATCCATGAGATCAAAATTTGGTTTAGCGCACCACATTTTCGAATACCTACTACTGTTGAAGAGAGCTTTGTTCGTTGTCCCTAGTGTTTGGAAACTTTTCGTTCAGCTTATCCTTGCTTTTTTATAGCCTAAGTATACGTTTTCAGGATAAAGTCTCGTTTGTAATCAGTAAAGTTTTGTAGTTGCATACCTGTAAGATCTTAACTCCTTGTTCTTCTAGGAGATTCTGTTCACCATAGTAAGTAGCTTACACTTGTTTTTCCGAGACAATTCCGTA